CTCTCTCTCTCTCTCTCTCTCTCTCTCTCTCATAGCATGGATTGAGTAGCTGTGACTCTAAATGTGATGTTTGACTTATAATAAAAAAAAACATAAAATAAGGTTTAGCAAGATGGCTTGGCAATGCATCTGCACTCAGTAGGCACTTGGTAGACACATACAACATCCAGCTATGCAAAGCTGTGCAAGTCCCAAAGACTTTATTGAAATTTCATGCTCACAATCATTGGGGAATGCAGCACAACCAGGAGAACAGCCGTTAACCACTGAAATGGGCCAGATGCTGTTTTTGGAAGAATAGTTTCCAAACCATGACCCATCTGGGACCTGTGTTGACTTCCCCTTCCCTCCTATGAAGTGTAAATGTTCCTGTTTCAAAACAAAGTGCCATCCATGGTGAGAAGATCAAGCACCGTTTATATTTAAGGCATGTGCAAGTTTGGTTTTGAAATGCATAGAAAGCCAGAAATGCATAGAAAGTCAGGGGAAAAAATAGATTAAGAACAAGTCCATGTCTACTTAAAATGATGATGGGGTGGATAAAAAAGAAACAGCAAAGTTGTTGGTTCCTTATAATAAGAACAAAAAATTTGCATTAGTTCAACTAACGACCTAGGTGTTAAACCAGAGGCCAGTAACCTGTGGCTCTGGAGCTGCATGTGGCTCTTTTATCCCTCTGCTGCAGCTCCCTGTACATAAATATTTCCCAAATGCAGTGCTGTGCAAGGAAAGACTGGGCACAGAGTTTCTGAGATTCACGGACAGATCTTCACACTCCTGGAACGAATCTAACGACTGAATGAACGAATTGTTTCCTGCAAAAGCCCACTCCCCTAATGCTCCTCTTTATTTCCTATTGGAGGGGCCAATCACCTTCCACCTGTGACTTTATTCCCAGGTCTACCCTGATTTCTGAGTTGCTCTTTTCTTCTGGCAGCTCTGCGCATACACAGACAGGGAACAGGCTCTTGCTGTTCCTCTGCCTTACTGCTGTCTCGCTCCATAGGCACCTGATCACTGCCAGATGGCCTCAGCCCAGTCTCTGCCTCTGATGTAGAGTCCTTGTCCGAACCTTCCCTAGCCTCTAGGACTGGCCCATGGTCCTCCTCAACCTCCTCACTTTCCGGCTGTGTTGGCCGCTGGTGGGCCACAACACTTACAANGTATTTACCGGTTCTCTGAACTACTCAAAATTTCCACTATCACTTCTCCAGAACTGGTCCGAATCTACTGAATACCACCTGTGAACAACAGCAAGAAAAATGTTGATGAAAGTGCTTTATCAATATTAGTAATCAAATACATAATTATATTAAAAGCAGAGGTTTATTCTATCTAACTGAATAAAATTGAATCCCTCTATGTCAGGGATCTCCAACCTTGGCTACTTTAGGACTTGTAAACTTCCGCTCCCAGAATTCCTCAGCTAGCCATTTTGTTCGAATTTTCACTTGTAAAATTCATGTTGGTTTCTCAAGGCTGCTAAGCCTGTCATTATGTAATCAATGTCCTAAGGCAGGGGTCAGCTACCTGCGGCTCTGGAGCTGCATGTGGCTCTTTCATCCCTCTGCTGTGGCTCCCTGTTTCCAGTCAACTCCGCAATTGATAGGGCTTTTGGTTAGGACAGGAAGAAGAAAACTGATGCTGCACAAGGAGGAGATTATAGTGGGGGAACCGGACTTCTGGTTGGCTTCAAAATTGAACGGGGGGCTTCCAGTTAAAACGTTTGTGGCTCTTTGAGTCACAAAAGTCTTTAAGGTTGCCGACCCCTGCCCTAATGCAAGGCTGTCAAACTCATGGCCTGTGGGCCAGATGCATCATGTGATGGCCACACCCATGCCAGATTTAGCGAAGGGAGGAAAAGTCGTGATACGTCATGTGACACCACCGTGATGAAGCCGAGTTTGACACCCCTGCTCTAATGCTATGTATATATTCTATAAAACAGAGCAATAAAGGAACATACGAAGACAAATGTTCGATTCTAAGGACATTTTTCCTGTTCTACTATCCCTTATTCTTGAAGAGGTAAAAATTTAGCTTCTTCTTCCAAATGGTCCCATTTTCAGATCTTAATTTTGTCCTGTCCATTTGTTACAGGCGCAGAGGTGGTTTTTCATCCAGTCCTTACCAGTTCAGGAGAACTTGTAGCAGCTGCTGCTGCTGGAGGCTTTGTCCACCTGCTCCAACATAATGTGACACCTTCTGCGCATGCGCGCTCACATTTGCGAACCGGTAGCGGAGGTAAGTGAATCCCACCAATGTACAGGAGATCTTCTTTTCCTTCTAAAATGTTTCTTTTTTGCATGGAGGATGCAAACCACTTATAAGTCCCATATAACTTCATGTAATGTTGTGGTTGATNAACATTTTGGTTGCTAAGCAAGAGCGTTGTTAAGTGAGTTCCACCACATTTTACAAGTTGGCCACGCTCACCCAGTCACATGGCTGGCAAGCCACTCCCACCCAGTCACATGGCCGGCAAGCCACTCCCACCCAGCCACATGGCCAGCAAGCCACTCCCACAAAGCAGGCCACACCTACAGAAGAGGTTCTAAAAAATGTGAAACCCACCACTGCCACACGTGTTACGTGAATCACTGCAATTCTTAAATTAGTAACACAGTTGTTAAGTGAATCTGGTTTCCCCAGGGATTTTGCTTGTCAGAGGTTTGCAGGAGATGATCACATGACTCCATGACACTGCAACCGTCATAAATGCGAGTCCGTTGTCAAGCGTCCGAATCTAAATCATGTGATCATTGGAGATGCTGCAATGGCCAGAAGGGGTGAAAAATAGTCATAAATCCCCTTTTTTTCAGTTGTAACTTAGAACAGTCACTGAATGAACTGTTGTAAATTAAGGACTACCTGTATCAAGTCAGGTGACAAGTATCTGGACATGTGCAGAGGGCGATGGATGGTAATATCTAGGAAGACATAAGATTAAAGGGTTACTGGACCTCTCTGGAGTGAAAAATGACAGATGGTTTTCTTGAATGTTGATGTGCTATTTTGATCAGTTGCCCTAACTGTAGTTTTCATTTTGAATAGTGATCTCTGTTGGGTTCTTTCCTTGATCTTCAATTCTGGCTCCTTCCATCATCCTACTTTCTGAATTATCCTTTGATTCATTTCTCTTCTCTAGACATGACTTCTGGCTTGATCTTCTGTATCTCTTCACCCCTGGTCATCTCAAACTGCTACCGGTTGTTCTACCATGACCAGCAACTTTCTGTAGCCATCACCTTAAATTTTCTTCCAGCGCACATACTACTTCCTTTAACTTTAATGAGTTGACCTGCAAGAAGTCCAAAAATTGCACCGTAAACATTAAGGCTAGCCATAAATTTTGTTTTACACTCCACACAGTCTTTTCCCAATTCTGCTTTTTTTTTGGCAGAGATAACTCCTTTTGCCTTATTGGTGACTAAGAGATATGCAGAGGATTTTTCAGAAAGGAACAACAGCAGTGGAGGGATTCAAATTTATTTTACTACTGGTTCTGTTGGTGTGGCTTAGTGGGTGTGGCATGGATTGGTGAGCATGGCGGAGGAAAGATACTGTAAAATCCCCATTCCCTCTCCACTCCAGGAAAGGATACCCTAAAATCTCCATTTCCTCCCCACTCCAGAGAAGGATACCGTAAAATCTCCATTCCCTCCCCACTCCAGGAAAGGATACTGTAAAATCTCCATTGCCTCCCCACTCCAGGAAAGGATACTGTAAAATCTCCATTGCCTCCCCACTCCAGAGAAGGATACTGTAAAATCTCCATTCCCTCCCCACTGCAGGGGAAGGATACTGTAAAATCTCCATTCCCTCCCCACTCCAGAGAAGGATACTGTAAAATCTCCATTCCCTCCCCACTGCAGGGGAAGGATACTGCAAAATCTCAATTTCNTGCCAGTACATGATATAACATACGCTAAATAAATAAATAAGTTGGCCTAGAGCAGTGGTGGCAAACCTTTTTGGCTCACATGCCAAAAGCAGGGGGAGCGCAGGGGCGTGCCACACCCATAATGCAATGTGCGACCCCCAGCATGCATAGCCACATGAGCAGCACTCACCCCCATTTTTTGCATCCTTTTTTTGCCCTCCCCAAGGTCCAGAGGCTTTATAGGAGCCTGGGGAGGGCGAAAACAGCCCCCCTGCCCCCCAAGGGGGCCCTCCAGAGGCTTCAGGACCTTCGCTGAAGCTTCTGGAGTGCAAAAAAACGGCCCTACGGGCAAACCAAAAATTCAGGAACGGACTTCTGGTTTGCTCGAAGGGCCAATTTTAGTTCTCCGGAGCCTTTAGGGGTCTTCCAGAGGCTTCCCTGAAGGCTCTGGAGGGCAAAAAACGACCCTATAAGTAAACCGGAAGTCACTTCCGGTTTGTCCGTAAGGCCATTTTTAGCCCTCCGGAGCCGTCGGGGACCTTCAGAAGGCTTCCCTGAAGGCTCTGGAGGACAAAAAACGGCCGTATGGACAAACCGGGAATGACTTCTGGTTTGCTTGTAGGGTCGTTTTTTGCCGGAGGGCCTCCAGGGGGGCAGAGGAAGCTGTTTTCACCCTCCCCAGGCTCCTATAAAGCCTATGGAGCCTGGGGAGGGTGAAAAATGGCCTCAAAAAAGGCTGGTCAACTGGCCAGATTCCCCAACCTGCATGTCTATAGGGCATTTTAATGATCCATGGAGATTCTCCATCATCCAGGTCATGGTTGTCCCAAAGATGCTTTTTTCAAAAGGCAGCTGGACTTTCTTCGTTTTTGGTCCTTGGAAAATCTTTCACTTCTCATCCAAGAAAGATGAGAAATGAAGAAACTTTTTGAATGAGAAACGAAATGTTTTCAAGGTGAAAAAAAAAAAACCAAGAAAGTCCACTTGCCTTTTTTTAAAAAGCACCTTTGGGATACAAATCGTAAGATTGCCAAATTTGGAATCCCCTGCTCTAGAGAGACAATGGCAGGAAATATGCATCCCAGTGTTGGCTTCTGACCAGCCATGTGCCATAATGTAACTCACATTTTCCCATGTGTTTTAACTTGTCCCTGAATAAGGCATCATCGGAGATAGCCCCGCTGGGCACACCGGTTAAGGAGCGAGTGACCTCATCTGCAAGGCAAGACAAAGCATATTTAGGATCGATAGGAAGCAGCCGAAGGCAAGAGAAAGATTTTGAGCATTCTTTCTATCCCACTGGACAACTTGGATTTCAAGTCCCATCCTTCCCAATCCTTGGCTATTCTGGCTAGGGATCTAGAAGGCACGAATGCCTTCTAGGACAGTAGTGGGTCCCGGATCCCATTGCGGCAAGTAGGCTGCACACAGGGCTGGGCGCCCTCGTCGGGCATGTGCACACCACTGCCTTGTGACACCCAGCTGTGCGCGCGTTGGCCCATTTGCATCAAAAACCAGTAAGAAACGTGAGCAGGTGGGTGGGCCAAACGACCCACCCGTGACCCGACAAATGCGCGCACGACAAAAGCGCNAAGAGGGGGAGGGAGAAGAGAGAGAGAAGGGAGTGAGGGAGAAAGAAAGAGAGATAAAGAGGAGAAAGAGAGATGGAGGGAGAGAAAGAGAAAAAGAGAGAAAGGAGATAGAGAAGAGAGAGGGAGGGAGAGAGAGAAAAATATGCATATAGCCAAATACCAGAGTGGTAGGTTGGTGTTTATTGTTTTACTACCATAATTTATTATTTTATTATTATTATTTTATCATTTTTATTTCTTTTATATTGTTTTTACCTCTGTGGAAGCCACTTTGATTTGCCATGAATCTTGCAAGTTCACCAGAAGGATAGCATAGGTAAGTGATGGCTAATATTTTTCTACAGGTGTGCCAAAATTGTGCGCACACGCGTTATCGCGCATGCACGTGTGCTCACCCACCTGTACATGCGTGTACGCCTCACCCCATGCACGTGCGCTTTCCCACCCCCCATGTGTGTGTGAGAGAGTTTTCGCCCTTCCCAGGCTCCAGAGACTTTCCTAAAGCCTGGGGAGGGTGAAAAAGGCTTCCTGCAGCCCCCCAGAAGGCTGAAAATCAGCTGCCTGGCACATGCATGCGTGCCAGAGCTGAGGGGCGCTGTGCTGGCAAACATGGCTCCACGTGCCACCTATGGCACATATGCCATAGGTTCGCCCTCCCAGGCATAGGGAACAAAACAGAGGTGGGTTGATTCCAGTTTGGACCAGATCAGCAGAGGAGGGTCGTTCTTCCCACCTGCCCGGACGCTTCTGCTCATGCGCGCATATGCAAGCAAACTGTAATTAAAAAAATGTGGAAACCCACCACTGGAACAACGCTGTTATAGAATCGGGTAGCCCTGCTATATATACTTTCAAAACTTCCTCCCGGAGGGGAGAAACCTGATTTCCTTTTAATGCATTGGACTAATGAGTTTTTCAGAATTTAGAGGCTGGATCAAGGGTCTCGAAACATGGCGACTTTACGACTAGTGGACTTCAACTCCCAGAATTCCTGACTGGCTGAGGAATTCTGGGAGTTGAAGTCCACAACTCCTGAAGTTGCCAAGTTTGGAGATGCCTGGGCTGCATCTTTGAGAGGCAGAGTGTGTGGGTATCTGGTTCCTGAACAAGCAGAAATCATCGATATTTACCTTTTGCCAAAGACACGCTAACCGCTTGGATCTCCCACGTGGTGATGGAATCGGGAAGATGAAATAGTTCCCTGAAAAACACCAAGAAGAAGCTTTCCTCATCTTTCTATATCACAGACATTTCCACCAAGGCCACAAAACCCTTCAAAATCTTTAATACAGTGACTAGTCATCATAGGAAGAGCCGAGGTGGCGCAGTGGTTAGGGTGCAGTACTGCAGGCCACTTCAGCTGACTGTTATCTGCAGTTCAGCGGTTCTAATCTCACCGGNAGCTGACAGACTCAATCATTCCTCTGTGGGAATTAGATGTAGCGCAGGCAGAGCCTGAAAGCAGAGTCAAGAGAGGAATCAGTCTAGAATCATTTCATTCTCACACATTTTCTAGATCCAACCCCTCTTGAATTCTGTTAGCAATAGCAATGGCAGTTAGACTTGTATACCGCTTCATTGAGCTTTCAGCCCTCTCTAAGTGGTTTACAGAGTCGGCATATTGCCCCCCACAATCTGGGTCCTCATTTTACCCACCTCGGAAGGATGGAAGGCTGAGTCAACCCTGAGCCGGTGAGATTTGAACCGCCGAGCTGCAGAACTAGTCAGTCAGCTGAAGTGGCTGCAGTACTGCACCCTAACCACTGTGCCACCTCGGCTCCATTATCTGTTATCTCTTATCTATCACCAATTTAGTCCTGACTGTTTGTTGACTAGATTCTTGTAGATAGGCGTGAAAAATAAATCATCTTGATTGGAACCCAATGTGTTGTCCAGCTTCTTCGCGACTGACCCCAGAGTCTCTGGGCTTTGGAAATTTCCGCTGATGCAAGAAAGAATGGGGAATAATTTTGAGTGGCTCTTTGCGCAACCTGGATCTTCTGCAATTATCTTTGGTTGGAAAGTCAGTTGGAATAATTAAATATCTCTGAATCAATGGAGCCCGTTCATATGCTTTTGAAGATTTCCCTCCCCCCCCCAAAAAAAAATCGATTTGGATAATGCATTGCAGCCTAATTCAGCAGTGCTCTTATCTTCTTATGTATGGTGTCACAACAGGGATTTGACAAATACTTGGACCAAGATACAAAACATAATTAAGCAATATTAATCCCTTGGAAATTAACAGGCTGATGCGTGTTTACTTGTTAATTAGATTTTTGGCTTTGGTTTCTGTCAGCTGCCTGGAGCTTCCAAAAGAGAAGAAAATGGCTGGTCATTTGGCAAAGGAGAGCCAAGTCCAGCACTTGGCTAAGTCCTCCAGGCTTTGGATAAATGGTGGTTATTTTTTTCTATTCTATTCTATTCTATTCTATTCTATCCTATTCTCTCTCTCTCCCCCTCCCTCCCCCCTCTATTCCAGGTTGGCTTAGTAGAAGAATCGTTTGCCAAAGACTAATAATGCCTAATAAGTATTAGTCATAGAACATGAGTATATTACAAAAATGCAGTTGTTACAGTGCACACTATCTTAACAATTAACTAGTTAAACTTTGTCAAATATCATATTCTCTGTGATAGGTCTATATCATTGTATTTAGTCCTGGTACATTCTGGTTCCATAGACATCAAAGGAAGCTGAAATTTACATCCCGTCGTTTGATCTCCCTTTACAATCTGGAAATGAAGGATGAATGAATTCAACACCTTTCAACCAAGAGTTGAGAAAGGAGACTGTCAAGTGAAATGAACCCAGGACTTTTTGTGTGTTTTTAGTTAGCTTATTGGAATAGGCAACGAAAGAGAAGACACTAAACTTAGGTTTTTTAATTGTAATTCCTTCCATCTCCTGTCTCATTGCCCTCTTTTTATGCAGTACAAACTGTTGGTTTTTGGAAACATTAGCTCTTTAATAAAGGCTCCAACAAAGATTGGTCAATAAAGTTTTTTGACGAATAAGAGACTGTTTTGAAACATTCTGTGATGACCCAGGGCATGGCACGGGGATGACCCAGGGCATGGCAGGTCAAATCACTCCTTTATTGCTCCAAAGTTCCCCAAATGCTTCCATGTTTCTGGCAAATTTCAGAGCAGAGTGATAACAAACCCCTACACAAACCTCAAGCAGCCTCTGGCTGCAAATAATCCAGCCCCATACTGGGCCACAATGAATCCAGCAGGGCAAATCAAGGAGTTCAGAAAGCAAAAGATCCAGGTAATTAGTCCAGAATACCAGAAGGAATGCAAGGACTTTTTGGAAAGTTCAAACATCATCACTGAACACTTCAGGAACTCAGTGTTTGTTCCCCACAAATGCAGTGTCTCCTTAAGTCTCATTCCCCAGCTGTGCCTTGTGAAGATGGGCGGGGCACTCTTCTCCCAAGTAGCTTGCTCAGTCTGCACTGTTCTTGCCTTCTCTCCACTCTCTGTGCTCTTGGATCAGGAGGGGGTGGCCCTTGCTCCTCGCCTGAGCTCTGTCTCTCATGTTCATCCTGCCTCCGTTCCTCCTGTTTACAAACTGTCCTAATCCTGAAAGTCCCTGGCCTTCCCCATTTTTCTTCTGAAGACAACCAAGCCTCCTCCTCAATCTCTATCGGCTCAGTTTCCAGCTTGTATTCCCCTCAGATCCAGGCTCTGACATGGGTGTGACACACACACCAAGATTTCATCAAGGTTGCCCAAGGATTCCTTGGCAAAATAGAGCATGAAAAGATCTCCTCCAGATGAGCAGGAACTGAAGGAAGGAGACACATGATGCAGTCTTAATTAATGCTTTCCTTGTTAACCCTGCAATGATAATTGACCATCACCCTAAAAATAGGCCTCCCTGCATTATTAAGTACAAATTTGAAAGTGATAAATGACTTTAATGAATATCAGAAGTAAGATGATAAGGTTAAATGGAGTCCAAAGTCAAGCTGCTGTAATTCCAGAATTCCCCGGAGACAGGAAAGTAATTCGTAAAAACCTAGTCAAGAACTTTAACATTGAAAACATTGGGAGCAGTGTTGTGCCACTCATGTCCCCAAATCCTTTGGATATTTTGACAGAAGGACTTATGAAATGCATCCTGAAGATAAAGATCCTTGACAATAAGCCATTTGTTTTAGAAGTTGAGGAATATGAAGGATACGGAAGCTGCTATGATGAGGTCTTGTTTCAATATTTTTATGTATGACTGTTTGATATCTGAAGAGCCCTGCATCTTGTTTGTATGTAGCACAGCCATACATTAAAAGTTTCAGTGGCCTAGAGGTGGAGCTCTCATCTCACAATCAGGGGGCTGTGAGTTCGATCCTAGGTAGAGACAGATATTTCTCTCTCTGGGAACAATGAAAATATGTCCGCTGAACAAAACTCCACATTGGCAACAGGAAGGGCATCTGGCCATTAAAACTCTCTGCAAGCTCCATTCAGCAGCCCAGTCTCCAACCCGCAAGGAATTATGGGGTCGCTAAAAGATGGTGATGATGCATTCAAAGTCTCCATGTTTACAGGAATCTATGCATGGCTACTAAATCAAGGCACATGACATTACAGATTGAAATCCTACCCTTTCTTCACTTTGTTAAAGTGAAGACATACAGTAAAACAAATTCAAACCACAAACTCACAGCTATTCTAAAATGTGCATGCCCGGGAGACATTGAGCAGGGACCTTAGTTGTAGGTCTGTGATGGCAAACCTATGGCACATGCGCTGGAAGTGGCACACAGAGCCATCTCTCTGGGCATTCCAGTCATTGCCCATTGCTCTTCCGGGTTCTGGTGTGCATACGCGCCCTGGCCAGCTGGTCTTCGTGCATGCAGGAGTGCTGGAAACCAGAAGAGCAGCTTCCTGACACATATGTGTACACTGGTGTCTGAGGTTCTGTTTTCCAGTGCATGCATGCATACCAGCCAAGGGGTCTTCATGCATGCATGGGCACCAGAAACTGGAAGATCAGGTGACTGGTGCACATGCGCACACCAGAAACCAGAGGTACAGTGTTAGGAATATAATCTAACGGTTGGGTTGGCAATATATAAATCATGTAACAATGCTGTACCTGTTTCTTTAAATCATACTGTAAAATGTGATTGGTTGCTGTTTTCCTCAATCGGCCATAAGAGGGAGCCAGAATGACTGTTAGCTCTCTGTTTGTTAGATGCTGGGCTGATCTGATCTGAGTGTTTTGGAAGCTGGCTGTTAGAAAGTGCCGTGAGCTATTGTAAGTTTTGCAACTGTTAGCAAACTTTGAGTGCTGGACTGTTTGTATGATTATGGACTATGTTATTTGGATTATCCCTTAACTGAAAGACATTGATGAATGTCTTATCCGTGTATGACTTGGACTGTTTGATGGACTCTGATACCTCTATTTCCACGAAAGTAAAAGCCTATTAGGTAAGCTTCCTGGTTCGTGCATACATACCAGGAAGTGCCTGGTTTCTGGTACTTCTGCATGTGATTGCCGGGGAGCTCCTCTTCCGTTTTCCGGTACTCCCCCACTCACGCGCTCCCGTTTTGGCACTCGGTGCTGAAAAGGTTCATCAACGCTGTTGTAGATTATCTAATGTTGTGATAGGATCGGAAGTCTGAAATAGAATAACCTATCCAGGAATTCATCACCATGATAACCCAGTCTGATTTGAGTCAACGGTTTGAACCTCTGGGAAGAAAACACTTCGGGGCAAGGCTACAATTTAATTCCCCAAAACCCAGCGTGCACTTTTCTTGTTTATGAAAGTGAAGAAACAGCTACCTGAACTAGGGTTGATTCTAATCACTATAAATGAATAAATTGATTTAATGATGAATGTAAATTTCCATTTCAAAGACTATTCCTCTGGTTACTGCTCATTTAGCAGTTCTGATCTGACAGCCTTTATAAATTTAGAACAACATACATGTTATTCAAACAAAGGGCCTCTCTCTCTCTCTTTTTTTTCCCCCCTATCCCCAGCCAAGGTGACTTTGACTATCTTCAAAACAAAATGTACACAGAGGTCCATCTCTTTTAGGCTATTCTTGGCATGGACAGAATAACTAATCCAAATACGGGTGACACGGTGATATTAATTTGTCAGCAAGAGCCTGAGGGTAAGGCAAGAGAGAAGGAGAAATGAAATAACACTGAAAGACCTCTTCGGTGTCAATATTCCAAATGTATCCGAATGTATTGAATTGCTTTCTACTTGGCACAATTTTCTTGGGGGCACTGCAGCTATCATTTGAGAAAAGGTAATGGAGAAGTTATCTCCCTGAATTGTTCCTAAAAGGCAACTGAAGCAGGTACGTTTCGTGGAAACGTTGTCCAAATTTAAAGATTACTATTGTATGAAATCTATTCCTTTATTTCCAGTTCATGTTTTTCTTCTTATTTGTGTGTGTGTGTGTGTGTGTGTGTTTGTGTGTGTGTTGTTGCTGCCTGTTCAACCCACGAGATCAGAATCCTCATGTTTCCCAAACCCTGTTTTCCTGAAAATAAGACCTCCCCAGATAATAAGCCCAATTGGGCTTTTGAGCACATGGAATAAAAGAAGCCCCCCCATAAAATAAGCCCTCCCTGGAAATAAGGTAATATAACAGCAGCCATGAGGTGACCACGCTCGCCACTTCCTGCACCTCAAAAATAATAAGAGATCCCTGAAAATAAGACCTCCCTGGATAATATGCCCTTCCCAAAAATACACCAACACAGCAGCAGCCATGAGGTGACCACGCTCGCCACTTCCTGCACCTCAAAAATAATAAGAGATCCCTGAAAATAAGACCTCCCTGGATAATATGCCCTTCCCAAAAATACACCAACACAGCAGCAGCCATGAGGTGACCAAGCACACCACCTCCTGCATCTCAAAAATAATAAGACCTCCCCAAAAATAAGGCCAAGTGGTTATTTCAGGGGTCAAAAGAAAATAAGACCCTCTCTTATTTTCGGGGAAACATGGTATCAGAAAGTCATCTGAATGCAGGAACTTTAGTTTCAACAGGAAGAGCATTTGGCTATATATCCTTGGTTCTAAGCCCTACTTCCTAGAATGTAAAACAGTGGGCACCTCTCTTATTAATTTTACTTATGACAAATTAATCAGATATAACGAGATCCACAGTTACGATCATGATGTTTCTACTCGTGAAATTACAGTTTCCATTTCAAGGTCTGCACCTGTTATTATTATTGCATCTCAGGGTTGCATTGCTCCCACCGTGAACCATCCATATTCATGGCCTTGCCAGGTATTTAACAACAAATTGTCCCAATTGCCGTATCTAAACAAGAGGATATCGTTGTAGCGCTAGGAATAGCACTTAGACTTATACAGCACTTTACAGTGCTTTACAATCCTTTCTAAGTGGTTTACAGAATCAGCCTCTTGCCCCCAACAATCTAGGTCCTCATTTTACCCACCTCGGAAGAATGGAAGGCTGAGTCAACCTTGAGCCTGGTGAGATTCAAATTGCCAAATTGCAGGTAGCTGGCAGTCAGCAGAAGTAGCCTGCAGTACTGCACTCTAACCACTGCGCCACCATGGCTCATACTCATTATTATACTTGCATACAGGTAGTCCTCTACCTATGACCACAATTGAGCCCAACATTTATGTTGTTAGGCGGGAAACTTGTTAAGTGCGTTTTTGCCCCGCTGTTTTACGACTTTTCTCACCACACGTCAGGGTTGGGTTTCTGCCAGTTCTAATCTCTTCTATA